TGGAGATGGAGTTGCTCTGTTTTTGTCAAATTGCTTTGTGTAAGTAAGCACTTTATAAGTAAGTGTTATAATGCACTTTATAGTTGCAGAATTGTATCTTTAAAAACATTAGATTGGAAGGGACCTTTCAAAATTACCTTTCTAGATTGTCTGCAGTATTCTTAAATTCATGGATTGTGGACTATTCTCAACATAAAACAATTTACAGACCATAGAATCAGAATTGGAGACCTCAAGAGGTCATGTAGTCCCTTTCCCCTTACCTCATGGCAGAACTAAGCATTAATCATTCAAGCATCCGTGGTCAGTCTACCTCACCTTAGTTAAATAAAAATACTGCTTAATTATACTAATTTACAAAATGTTTACAACAAAGCTGCAAAACTAAATGGGAGATTTATGAAATGCATGGTCAACCTATGAAACTCCTTGCCAGTAGCAGTGTAAAATTTTGATTAATTGGCTAATTGAATAGTTGATGCAGTTTGCCTAAACTTCTGTTGCTACACTTCAAAGGCAAAAGCACTGCGGGGAGCATGGGTCAGCAGGGAACTCAAGCAGCCCCCTGCTGGCTCCGGGTTCCCCATGGTATTTCAAAGCAGCAGTGCTGCATGGAGCCTGGTGTCAACTCTTAAGTCTCCCAGCTGACCACAGGCTCCATGCAGTGCTGCTGTTTTGAAACACTATAGGGAGCTCAGTGTCAGGCTGCACAAAGCATTTCAAAGCAGCAGACCCTGGGCTCCATGCAGCACTGCCCCTTTGAAATGCCATATGCAGCCCAGGCCAGCTTGGGACTCCTGGCTGGCCCCAGGCTATAAGAGACATTTCAAAGCGGCAGTGCTGTGTGGAGCCTGGGGCGGGGGAGGTTTTCTGATAGAGGCAGTAATGAGGGGAGGACCTACTAGTTGACTAGTGTGTCGACAAGTCCTTCACATTCCTACTTGCCAGAGTATGTTGTGAAAGCTAGGTCTTTAACAAGATTCAAAGGAGAACCAGATAAATTTATGGAGGGTAGTTCCATCAATGATTATTAGCCAGGATGAGTAGGAATGGTGTCCTTAGCCTCTGTTTGTTAGAGGCTGGGAATGGGTGACAGGATGGGATCACCTGGATTACCTGTTCTCTTCATGCCCTCCGGGGCACCTGGCATTGGCCACTATTGGAAGACAACATGTTCTTAACCTAAACCTTAAATTTATTTCAGTGTTAGGGCTAGATGCAAGAAATGTAGAACTTGAAGATCAAATAACTTTTTTGATAATGCATAACATCTTTTTATTCTGAGCAGGATCCCCTTATGGTAAGCACTTATCAAACACATTAAAAATACTTAGGTTCACCTATGTCAAAAATGTAGATGCTCCATGTTGGAGAAGTTTACAACATATATAAGTTGGGATGATTGTATTTTTTATTCACACAGTTGTAGGGAATTGTGGCTACTTAAATTTGGAAGTGAAAAGAGACCATGAATGGAGAGGGAAACTGAGGGTGGCTTATACTACAAAGTGGTTAATCCAGTGGTCACCAGCCAGTAGATCAGCATCTGCTGGTAGATCTTAATAGCCTCTTAGCCAAACCAGTCAGGCTTACTTGTCAGAGGCTTTAGCTGCCCCTCCCCTCACTGGTGCACAACTGCTACCCTTTGCCTTGGATCTCTCTCCTCAGGAGCCTCCTGCTTGTTGGGCAGAGGAGGGTGCTGATAACAAGGTGCCCCCTCTCCCACTCTGTATCCTGTCTCCACAGAGAAGAGAGGGAATACAATAAGGCTTGGGATGGAGGGAGTTTGCATTTGGGAGTGGTGTAGTGCCAGGCAGAAATGAGCCAGTCTAGCCCCACTGTACCACCATGTAGGAGCCACCTGTGGTAAGCAGGGCCCAGCTGGAGCCCACATCCTGAAACCCTATGCCAGTCATGAACCTCCTTCTGCACCCTAAACCCCTGCCCTAGCCCCAAGCACCCCCTGCATCCAAACACGCTTCTAGAACCTGCACCTAGAACCCCTTCCGGTGCTCCCAACGGCCTGCCCCAAGATCAGCTCAGAGCCCTTCTCAACTACAAATCCCTTAATCTAAGACCAGATTCTGTGCCCCAACCTGCTGCCCCAGCCTGGTGAAAGTGAAGAAGGATGGAGTGAGCAGGGGTGGGGCCTCAGAAGGGGCACAAAGGAGGCGGGGAAAGGGTATTTGAGTGTGAGGTAGATCTTGGATTACACTTAAATTCTAAAAGTGATCTTGTGCTTAAAAAGGTTGGAGACCACTGGGTTAATCTGTCAGTGTTTCTCAGCCAGTGGTACGAGTACCCTCAGGTACTTGATGTACCCTCCCAGACTACTCTCAACACAACTGAAATTTGGAGAATACGGAATTTTTGTTTCAAGTTTTACAACACTTTCTTACTTTTGTATTTTTTACAACCAAAAATTTCATTGCCTGCACAGCTACGATTAAGTTGTTTAAACAAATGTGTTGCAATGGTAGAAAAAAAATTGTCTGAAAACTGTTAAGTACTGGGGGTACTTTATAAAAAAGGTTGAGAAACACTGATCTGTGTTATACAGTTTGAGTTATGGTAGCATAACTCAGATCAACACAGCTAAAATCTACTTACTGAAGAGTGTACAGGAGAGTGATTGGCAGACAATTCAGTGAGTCTTCATTAGACTTGGTAAAGTGACTGCTGGTGGATTTGAGCTGTAGTGGATACAAGCCCTGCGTAGGTGAGTGAGGCACGGCCACAGAAAGAAGATGAGCAGCTAATGGGGTACGTTAGCTTTAAGAAGCATTCTATGGATATGATGGCCTAAGGCTAAAGATTGTATGTAGTGTTTCTAAATAGCAAACAGAACAGTTAGTTTTGTTTGAGTTATCTTATTCAAACTTGTTCTCTTTAAATGAAGATACCATTTGGAATCTGGTTTTCCATTGGCTGCCTTGGAAAGTGATAGAGAGCACAAGCCTCTCAAACTGAGTCACTGAGATATAGAAGCAGTGCGTTATGGAGGAATGGGTTGCAAGCTATTAAATACGTTAGTTACTTTCTCTACAGAGATCCTAAATATGGTGCAACCGTTCTTGCTATGACCGTTCTAATTTTTCATCAAGATGAATTTTGTATCTGAAACTAGACACCATTCTTGGATTGTTTATGGGTTACTGTAGTACTCTAGAAATGTTATCTTAAATTTGGTAAGAATGATAAGATTTACATTTGTAGCATTGCTATGTAAATATACAAATTTCTTTTAATAGTTATGAAATCATTTTGGCTGCATCTCAGTAGCAATGAGAAGCAACATTTCTTTTGCCAGGTTAATCTTTTTCCTCAGGTATCACAAGTTTTGATACGTTGTTTATAAAGCATGCTTAGTATCGTAGACTCACAAGTCAAACCACTTAGCATTTACCAAGAGCCATCTGCCCACTCCCCCCAATCAAATTTCTTTTAATAGTTATGAAATCATTTTGGCTGCATCTCAGTAGCAATGAGAAGCAACATTTCTTTTGCCAGGTTAATCTTTTTCCTCAGGTATCACAAGTTTTGATACGTTGTTTATAAAGCATGCTTAGTATCGTAGACTCACAAGTCAAACCACTTAGCATTTACCAAGAGCCATCTGCCCACTCCCCCCAATTAAGAACCTCCAATTGTTGCTAAAATAGAACTAATCCTAATCTATAGTCTAGAACAGCCGTGGCCAGCCCTCAGTTCTTCTCCTCCTTCCCCCCAAAAGTGCGGCTCGTGAAGCCCCCCTGTGCCCCTGAAAACAGCCCCAGGCTCCCTGTGCTCACCAAGGCAAGGGAGTCATCTGGTGTGGCCATTCAAAATGGCATCTCCAAGTTGAGAGTGGCTGGCAGGAGCCTGATGTGGCCAAAAAGCTTTTAACTGCATTTCTTAAAGGGGCAGTCCCCCCTTTTTCCGCTGCCTGCGCCCCTCCAGCTTCCCTGTGCTTACTGGGTCGGAGCTGCAGGGTTTTAAAAATGGCACCCATGATGGCGGACATCTTAAAGGGTCAGCTTCCTTTTTAAAAAATAAATAATTTTTTGTTTGTTTTTGCTCGAGAAGTCTGTTCTGTTTTTTTCCCCAACAGCAACCACTGTGCTATATGCACAACTATTTTGGCTCTTTGCCTGTAATGGGTTGGCCACCCCTGATCTAGAAATTTAAATATATACTAAGTCAAAGGTATTGTAATCATGCAATATTTAAAAAATACTACTGTATCCTCTTGGGTCAGCATAAAAGCTGCAACAATTCATTAGGCAATTTTTATCTTACTCCCATGGGATGTTCTTGTACCTTTTTGAACCTTTCAATTGACTCCATTTTATATAACTTTCTCCCTTGGCCTGCTTTGAAATACCAGGTTGTAATCCCCATTTTAACTGAAAACAGGACAAATTTTAATCAGATTGTATGAATGTTGCTCTTTAAGGCAATGTAGAACGTGCTGTGGTGCAGTACAACTTAATTCTCATCTAATGGCCATGCATACTATCTTTTCATCACACAGCAGAGCCAACAGCAGGGTTGAATATGGAGAGGAATTGAAATATCTGACACTGCCTTGTATTGAGCTTTTGAGTGGTATTGAACATTTGAATTCAGTAGGAAAAGTGTATGGTGTGTTGGCCTTTTTGGAAAGACTTTCCAAATCAGTTATTTTCTTAAATAGTTAGAAGTACACTGTTCAATTGCTGTTCTTAATGAAGTCTCTTTAATACTACTTTAAAGAGTAAACATTTACCATAACACCTTCCTAAGTTATTTATAAGGTTTAAACTGACATAGGAATTTTCTTTCTTAAAGGAATTGACTTGTACTCAGGTCTTCTGTTCTAGTTAAACTGACCAAGGACCCCACCTTGAGTTAGTACCCATCTAGAAGGATTTGTTTCCCCTTGCAGTTTCTAAATTGATATGGTGGAAATACTGAATGAGGGTTGCATGTTGTTCTTCAAAGCCTACCCGTTTTAAGTTGATCTTTCTGTGTATTTGCAGGTGACTGAGCTGAATGAACCCCTCTCTAATGAAGATAGAAACCTGTTATCTGTAGCCTACAAAAATGTGGTTGGGGCTAGGCGATCTTCCTGGCGAGTCATCAGCAGCATAGAGCAAAAAACTATGGCAGATGGGAATGAGAAGAAGCTGGAAAAAGTTAAAGCATACAGGGAGAAGATCGAAAAAGAGCTGGAGATAGTCTGCAATGATGTTTTGGCCCTCTTGGATAAGTTCTTGATCAAAAACTGCAATGAATTCCAATATGAGAGCAAGGTCTTTTATCTGAAAATGAAAGGAGATTATTACCGCTACTTGGCAGAAGTTGCTGGTGGTGAGAAGAAAAACAGTGTTGTGGAAGCATCAGAGATTGCCTATAAAGAGGCTTTTGAAATCAGCAAAGAGCACATGCAGCCCACTCACCCAATAAGGCTTGGGTTGGCACTCAACTTCTCTGTGTTCTATTATGAAATCCAGAATGCACCTGAGCAGGCCTGCCTTTTAGCCAAACAAGCCTTTGATGATGCCATAGCTGAGCTGGACACACTAAATGAGGATTCCTACAAGGACTCCACTCTTATCATGCAGTTACTCCGAGACAACCTCACTCTCTGGACAAGTGACCAGCAGGATGAGGAAGCAGGAGAGGGCAATAACTAAAGGGCTTTCATTCCAGCCCTCCTTCATCCACTTCACTATTTCCTTCCCACAATATTTCCTTGCCACAGTCTCACTAAATATATAGTGCAGGGGTGGGGAACCTAAGGCTTGCATAGATCCGGCACCTGGGGCTCAAGGCTCCCCCTCATCATTGGGGAGCCAACACTGGCCCCTCAGTCCCCATGCTGTTCCCCCTATGGGGCTGGAGTACAAAATCTACTAGCCTGGGCCCAATGTTTTTTTTTTTTTCCTCCATGTGTTAGCAGCCTCTGATCAAAAAAAGGTTCCTCACCCTGATCTAATTCAAAGCCTATCTGTATTGTCAGCACAGATGTTCAGATCCTGCGGTCCATGGTATCAGCAGGCAGTTTTAGATATGTCTTCATGAACATTGCTAAATTGATTGGTTTTTTTTAATCTGCCTGTTTATCAGAGTTTAATTTGAATGGTGCAGAAAGATGCATATTAAGGAGGCATTTTAGATATGGGCAAGAAAAATTGAAAGTGAATTAATCAGAAATTTAATCTTTAAATTTTCTATTTGAAACAAGCTTGATAGTATTGTATGAAGCAGATCTTGTGCATGCAAAGCAAATTAGTGGCGAGGAGTCCTGTGGCACCTCCTCGCCGCTTTTGCTTTGTATCAGAAGGTTAGCCGTGTTAGTCTGAATCTGCAAATTAGCCACCTAAAATCTTTTAACTGATAAAACAGTTAAAAGGCTGGTGTGAAGTGACAACTTAATTCTCTATCAGTTTACAGACTGTTCAGAATGTGAGGTTTTGGTAGCAGCTTGTTTTTTTGCCTCTATCTTATGATGTGCACAGACTTTCATTTACTGCAATGCATCTACTTAAAAGTTTTGATACTTGTAACCTTTTTTGCCGTTTTAAAAAATCATGAATTTATTTTTTGTAAACTCTTTGGCTGTTTAGTTGTCTGTGTATTCTGACAGCACCACGTCTGTTAGCCCTTGTTAAGATGGATGACTCTGAGATGCCGGACTCCTAAATTAAATGTTTTGGAATTAAATGAATAAAATAAAATGTTGCTTCAGGAATATTATCTCTGTAGGAGTTGTCCTGTCTTCTTTTCATAAAGATAGAGATTTATAGAGATGTCCAACTTGCAAAGCTTAGATTGTACTAAATACAATGGTGGAGAACATAGCAATCCAAACTAAACATGTAACATTGCTCTCCTATTTCCTAGTGGGGCTGCCAGTTGTATATTCAGGGCAGTAACTTGCTAGTGCAGTTGTAATGCAAGCCTACTGATCAATGTTTACAAGATCCTAAATAATACTGCTAGTTTTACTAATTAGGTAAAAAAAATTGAATTTTTTTGCTTCTGTCCATAACGACTTGTGGATTTTATTTCCTTAGAAGCTACAACTGAGTTTCTTATACCCTTTAATGAATTCTGATTTAAGTTTCTTTAAATGAAACCATAGCATTATCATGCACTCATGTTGTATAGTGTTAGCTACTAAGGAGTTACCTCAGCCACATTTTTATCTGTAACGAGCCTCTCCTCTAACCTTCTGATTTTAAATTCAGTCTGAGGTCATATTGAACATGTGCTGTCCAGCCAGCCCCTGCAGTTCCTCAGAGCCCTGCAGTTCCTCAGAGCCTCAGAGTAGAGTTGAGCTGTCTGGATCTTGGCTGAATAAAGGCACTTTTTTCCCTAACTTAGCAACTAGCCAATCAGCCCCAGAAGTTTGAGAGGAATTGCTTGACACACTGCTTTTCTAATCAGTTGCTCATAGCTACTGATGTCATATGTACAGAATAGAATCTTCTACTCATGAAGTGGCAAACTTACCCCTCTACTCATTTTCTGCTGTGCAGTGCTGTTGTACTCATTAACAGCTGCTGCTCTGTCCTTTGTGTTATACTGTTGCCATATTAAAAATGCTTTTATTTCTGTCTACAATGCAACTAAAAACTTAATACGGTTTGTGTGCTACACAGCTTTTGAAAATGGTTACAGGAGTTTCTAGGAGAAGACAGCAGTTGTATGGTAATCTGTGAGTAGTCTGAGGAGGGAGGAGGAGTGATCTAAGAAGTTAATAGGTGGGGAAGTAGTAGCCATACAGGGACTGAAGAGTATACTTCCTGCCAGAGTTATTTTGGACAGTGGAAGACTATAATTGAAGATACGTGAATACTCTGGCATGGATTTGGCTGGGAGGAAATTTGTCTGGGGCTATGAACAGGAAAGGTGGTATGTGAGGTGATGATACTACTTCCCTTAAACATTTGCAGGAATATAGGAGAAAATGACTTTTCAAATACGAAAGAATGCCCTGAGGTAACAATTTTCTTGAGCTCTTAGAGATTTTATCATAACCTCTTTCAAAGCCTATAGATTACAATCAGTGTAATGTAGTTATGAGACTCTGATGTAGTGCAGGGGTGGCCAACCCGCAGCTCATGAGCCATATGCAGCTCTTCTCTCCTCCCCCCCCCCTTAAAGTGTGGCTCACAAAGCTACCTCTGCTCCCCTAGAAACAATCCCTGGCCTCCAAATCCTTGTGCTCACTGGGGCAGGGGAACTGTCTGGTGTGGTGAATCAAAATGGTGTGCCAAGATGGCGGCGGCTGATGGGAGCCTGATGTGGCCAAAAAGCCTTGTCTTTTAAAGGGGCAGTGTCTTTTTTTCTC